TTACTCTTATTTTTTTTGGTCAATATGTAGAAGAGGGTAGTGGGTTACTTTCAAACAATTTTGATATTTTTCTGCATGAAATCAACTGCTGTCAACGATTCTAGGCATTGTTCCTTGTGCAAATGAATAATTGAGGAGATATGATCATCTCTATTGACAATCCTGATTTGATAGTCCCAATAGAAGGGGAGGGCATGAAGTATATCAGGGAAATTATAGGGTAAAACAGGATCCCCATGGTTGTTAAACAAAATGTCCTAACCTACCATCCAAACTAACCTAACACTGTGGTATGTATTCCCTAGCCAGGGGGCTCTGCCACCCAGGGTGCATTTCATGCACTTAGGCCCGAAGATCTCCAGCATTGAGTTAGCTTTCCTATCGGCGTGGCGGTGTGGATTTAGCCTAAATTATATTCCTTGGTGTATTGGCGTAATGAAATGGAAAAATCACGGTGCATGTTTCTTTATCTTTACTGCTTATACAAGCTTTTAAGTTGAACGCAATGCACTTATACATAGTCTTTTGTTTTATACCTTAACAACGCATCCCCCCCCTACACTCCTTACAGCTATTTTTTTACAAACATCTGACGCTCAAAATCCCAAATTTTTAACCCAACGGTGCAGGGGAAAATGAACAAAAAATGGAGAAAATGCTGTGCCCACTTTCTATGGTTTTCGTGAAATGTCTGCCGATAGATGGCTCTGCTAGCGCCTGATTTGAAATGGCGGGAAAAACGTATTTTTCACTAGTGCTATGAAAATCGATGGTGTTATTTTTATCATAAACATTATAATTCTTCTAATGTTTTTTAACATTAGTAACAGCAAAATAAGATTACGTAAAATATTTTGTAAATCAAAGAAACGGGTAAACGGGCGAGACGGGCGGTACTCGTAGTTGGCTCATTGGGGAGTTAGTACAAGTGTTGCCATCTATGCATAAAAACAATCAAACAAGTACTCACGGTGGCCACAGCATGTACGTACACGTCATATCCGGCACCAATGGGTTAAGAATCACGAGGTTGGGGAAAAAATTCACGATTCTTATTATAAAGTGTGTGCTGCGACCAACAATTTACTTGGCTATAACTTGGCGTCATACTTTATGAAAAATTACTCTTATCAGGAACGTTGGCGTACACTCCATGAGCTATTGCCGTACCTCCGGCGTAAGTTTTACACAGAATGCACCCTGGTCTGCCACTTGGACCCCAGTGGTAATAA